AGCAGACCTGTACCTACCCTTGGTGCTGCTGTGATCCCTGCTGCCACTCAGTTTTGATCTGTTTGCTCCCAGATGCAGGTCTCGGTTTCTGAGCACCTAATCACTGGGCCTGAGCATTGTCACATTTAATTGCTGGCGGGTGGTCCAGAGAAGTATGCATGTACTGATTGTCAGATTCCAGGGCCACCGTAGGGGAATGGATGCTGTCTAGAACATAGATTGGTGGAGATGGAAGCAGTTTTATATTTAGTTTATATTTTTTTTTCATTTTTTTTTTTTTTTTTTTACCCCGAGAGTCCTGCTTAAGGCCACAGACGGCAAGAGTGTTTGAAGTGTATTCTAATGCATGCCAAGTGCCATCCCGATTTCAATCTTGGTGACTTAATTTACGCACTTTGAACTGCAGCATATCTACAGGATAGCTGTCCCTTTTTATTGCCTATTTATTCTTGCTACTATTTTACTTGCTTTGCCCTTCAAGGGGGAGAAATTGTTTTAGATTCCTGAGGGTTGCAGTTTGCTTTGAACTCCGGGGAAATGAAAAATCTACCTTTTGCAATGGGGCTCTCCTGTACTGCAATGGTTAAAAGCTCAAATTTGCCTAAGATACCTGTTAAGAGCACTTTTTTTTTAAAAAAACCTTGCTCCCACTGGCAATTACAGATCTGACATGATCAAACACGATGCAAGACCAGTACTCCAGCATTGTAAGTGAGGACACAAAGGTGTGCAATGGCTGCTGGAGGATTGGGGGATAATGTAGGTAAAACCTTTTTACAAGTACCCTGGGGAAAAAAAACAAAAATGTAACGCCCTGGAGCACCACTGCAAGGAAAGATATTTTTAATTTTCTTGAAGTTCAGTGTTAACACACAGTATGCAATGAGGTTAGAAAATCATGATCTTTTTTGTTTCTTTCAGCTACTGAGTGATGACAGGAAGTGAAAGAAGAAGGCACGTATCCTGACTGATTACTTAATTCCTTTACTTGACTTCAGTGCATTATTCATTACCATGTACATATTACTTGGGTAAGTGGGCCTTATACTGACATGCATTGTCTTCACTGGTCTGAAAAAAAAAAATTTATGAAAGGATTTATTCTGAATATGTCAATCTAGGCTGATTTGGGGTAAACATCTGACTCTAATGGATGCTGCAGTAGTAGTGCATAGACATAAAGTGGAAGTTCAGCCTATTCCTAACTAAGCTTAAATCTGTTCCCACCCCCCCCCCCTTTTAAAACCCTATTCTATCTACACTGTCAGTGGTCTCTTGTAAAGTGATCTCCGCAGTGGCTGCAGTGCCTGGAAGTCACCCATAGGCTTACTATGGGGCTTCTGTTGTCGGCTGTCCCTCCTCTACATTGACTCCACCACTGACAGCTGATCATGTGACCAGACTGTATCACTCTCAGAATAAGTATACACATCTTCCTTTAACAGGGTTTAGAAGGAGAATGGGAGCAGATTTAAGCTTAGTTAAGCCAGCAATACAGTTCAAAACGTGTATGGGCAGGTTGAATGTTGATCGATCGTACAACCAGACTTTCAGATTTTACATCTGGTTATTGCTAGTGGCTATTATAGCCTCTAGCAGTAATCACTGTGTTCTCCTGGTGGTGATGGCCCCCCCTCCCCAGGAGAACACAAAGGCCCTGCGAGTGTTGATGGGGGAATTGAGCGATATTTATTTTTATTCCCTATGGTTACAGAAAAGAAAATCGCTCCATCTATGGCTGGCTTGAGAAATAGAGGGGACTTCCACTTTAAAGGTTATCTATAGGCAAACCTTCTCCAGCTATAGCAACACTTTAATTTTCACAGCTTTAACACAAGCTGATGACTTTTTTTTTTTTTTGTTCCTGTGAATCTCATTTTCAGTTTTCCTTTACAGTTATTGCACTTTTTAATTAAGAATCTTTATCCTGGTGTCTTTAGCTTTGTGGACTGCACCTTTTGTCTTCATGTCTGCAGTTGTGTATTTTGTCCACCCAAAAAGAGCAGTTGTGGTTTTATGTAGCTTTTGGCAACTGTGCAAACCTGGTTCTTGAACTGTTCCTGAACCTTTTTTCTGTACTCTGTGCAGGTTCTTGAAGTATTCTGACCAGTGAGAAAAATATATAGTTGCTGGACATACTTTAATATGATCAGAATTATTACACATAAGCTTCAAAATTGTTACCCTTTTTTGTAAGGGTAGGGGAATCCCTTTACATAGACTGTATCAGATTGGAAGCAAAACAGGTTATTTCCCTGGAAAATCAGTGCATTTATTTTCTAAATATGATTTTGTAACATTTTTTATGGATCTCTTCCCAAATGATTAAATTATATATACATTTAAAGAATTGCAAGCTATTTAAGGACAGGTGCACCTTTTTGTATCATTAAATTGCATATGCCTCCATTGCCTATTCTCCAAAATAATAAAAAAAATGTCACACTCCAGACCAGACTTATTCCCCGCCTTGGTGCTCTGGCATAGCCACAATCAATAGGTAGTGAACTCCAGTTGAATATTTGTATATATCTGTTTGAGGTGAAAGTAATATCCATAACTCCTAAATATGTTACCCTCATTCAACGATCTTCACGTGTAAACTTTGGAAGCCAGCTTCCTGCTTTGGGAGAGGAGAGGGCAAACTGCAGATCTCCGGATCATCTATAATTTTAGTTTCTTTATCATACATCTCAGGACACCAAGACAATAGGGTTATGCTTCCACCTCTGGAGGATTGGAAACTAGCAAAAAGACAGAATCTCCTCCTAGCTTTTTTGAAAATGCTAGTTGTGTGAACTGAGTTATGGATCGTGGCAAGGGTGGACCATCCCTGCTAAAGTATATAGGTACTGCCCCTTGTAGTCTCTACCAAGGGCTGTGTTTCTGAGTTTCCTGTAGGTCGCCTGCAGAATGCATGGTCTTTGTCCCTTTTTATCCTAGTTCTTTTGCTTCTGCAATCTGCCATTGCAAAGTGAGGGATCCCCAATGGGGTTCTCATAGAATAACGCGTGTAATGGATGAGGCTTTGCTTGTTCATGTGGCTATGACTTAACAATGGATTGCAGGAGGAGTACAGCAATGTACTGAGTCTAGACAGACAGGAGAAGTGTAGACAGATTAACCACTTGCCTACAGGGCACTTATACCCCCTTCCTGCCCAGGCCAATTTTCAGTTTCAGCACTGTCACACTTTGACAATTGCGCAGTCATGCAGCACTGTACCCATATGAAATTTTTATCATTTTTTTGAGGCAGAGCTTTCTTTTGGTGGTATTTAATCACCTCTGGGTTTTTTTATTTTTCGCTAAACAAACCAAAAACCACTGAAATTTTTGGGGAAAAAAAAGTTTTTTTCTTTGTTTTTTGTTACAATATTTTGTAAAGAAGTGATTTTTCTCCTTCACTGATGTGCGCTAATGAGGCTGCACTGATGGGCATTGATAGGCTGCACTGATAGGTGGCACTGATGGGCACTGATTAGACACTGGTAGGTGGCACTGATGGGCATTGACAGGCATCACTGAGAAGCACTGACTGGCAGCAGTTAGGTGGCACTGACTGGCACTGTTGGTTTGCACTGACGGGTACTGAAAGGTGGCACTGATTGGCAGCACTGTTAGGTGGCACTGACTGGCATTGATAGGTGGCACTGATAGGTGACACTGAAAGGCAGCTCAGATGGGTAAATGATATGTGGCATTGATGTGCATTGATAGGTGGCATTGATGGGCACTGGCAGGTGGCATTGATGAGCACTGGCAGGTGGCACTGCTGGGGCTACACTGATCATCAAGGCACACTGCTCATCAGTGCCCTGGTGATCAGTGTACATGTCCCCTCTGAGTAATGCCGATTACCGGCTCTCATCTCCTCTCCAGCTGTCAGCGTGACAGCTTGTGAGGTGAGAAATGCCGATAATCGGCATTTCCTTATTTACATGCATCAGCTGTGATTGGACACAGCTGATCAGATGACAGAGCCGACATCTTTGGCCCCTTCCGTTGATCAGTGATCCGTTGTGTCCGCACCACTGATTGTCTCGCTGCGTGCCCCCAGAGCTGCGCATGCGCGGTTATAGTGGGAGGACATCATATGATGTCCTCCCAGAATGAGAGAACCGCCTTGCGCTGTCATTACCTTATATGGTGGGCTGGAGGCGGTTAAATTGCTTGCACCTGAAAATTGTTGGAGACAAGTCTAATAGGAGCACCACATTAACGTGAATAACTGCCCTTTCCTCTGCCTATAAAACCACATTGTGAGCTATGCACTGAGGAATATTCTATTAAAAGCCAGGAATTGGTGTTGACCTACAGGGAAACCCTGTCTTACTTTATCTATGACACTTGGCCTACTAGGGGTCCAGGTTTTGCTTGTAGAAGGTGGGGATACCCCCTCCCAAAGGGTCTTCAGGGTGTGGAAACCATAGAAATGGACCTAGGCCCTGGACCTGTATGGCACCCTGAGGATAACTACACACACTGCACTACACTAAAGGCCAGACCCCCAAACTGGTGTCCAGATACATCCCAAAGTCACACCAAGGTGTACAGATCTGAAAACTGCTAGATAGCTCAGGGCACTAAGCAATCAGATAGTGCTAGAAGTGAAAAAAGAAAAAAATATCACCTAAAGACACTAGCAGAAAACTGGAATCTCAGATTGGGTGGGGTTATTTGAGTGCGCACTATGGGTGGCCCTAGCAGGTTTGTTGCCAGTTTCTAATCACCTGAAGGTAGCCTGCATATAACCCATAGTCTGTGAATACAAACCCTGTACTCTGTGATTAAGATTTTATTAGGTTACATTAAAATGTTAACACGTGTGAGATTGCATTGAAAATGAATTAGTTGCTTTGACTTACTACAACCTGCCAATGTCTGTAGTTGTTTCTCTACGGCTATTAATACATAAATGTCTTAATTTATATACAAAGCATTTTCTCAATAATATTTTCTCTTTTTCAGAATATAAATTGAAGACTTTTCTTTATAATAATGGCAGGCAAGTCGTCTTTGCTGAAAGTAATCCTTTTGGGAGATGGTGGAGTCGGGAAGAGTTCTCTCATGAATCGATACGTTACCAACAAATTTGACACCCAGTTATTTCATACTATAGGAGTTGAGTTCTTGAATAAAGAACTGGAGGTGGACAATCATAGTGACCATGCAAATATGGGATACCGCGGGCCAAGAACGTTTCAGGAGCCTGAGGACCCCATTCTATAGGGGATCTGACTGTTGCCTGTTGACATTCAGTGTTGATGACTCTCAGAGTTTTCAAAACCTAAACAACTGGAAGAAAGAATTTGTCTACTATGCGGATGTTAAAGACCCAGAACATTTTCCATTTGTGATTTTGGGAAACAAAGTAGACATCAGTGAACGTCAAGTCTCAACAGAAGAAGCTGAGACTTGGTGCAGAGACAATGGGAACCATCCCTATTTTGAGACAAGTGCTAAGGATGCCACTAATGTGTCAGCAGCATTTGAAGAAGCTGTCCGAAGAGTTTTGGCTATTGAAGATCGAACAGATCAGCTGATCCATAATGATACAGTGAATCTACATAGAAAGCCAAAGTCTAGTTCAACCTGCTGTTGACTTTTAGATTTATGGAAAGTCTGCTATCAACACCTTCAGTGTGAGCTTGGCTTTTTCACAATACAGGTCTACTATGTACACATCAGTAGGCCAGGATTGCTTCACTGGAAAAGAACAAGTGATTAGTCATTGTTTTAATGAAGCTTCACTATGGAGAAGCCATAGACCTTACAAAGACTTTACCCTTGTGGTGCCATGATATGTACCACACACAGTGCGTACTGTTTCCTTGGTAAATGTGCTTATTAAAACTAACAATTTACTATACTGAAATATAGCGGAAGACTTTATAAATTAAAACTTCATGCTGTATGGCTTTGATTACATAGATGACAAAAATGAGAAGAGATAATACATATATTAATTATGTTTGTGACTATTTCCTTTTGGACTGTGCCCAGTCACAATTGATTGGATAAATCCAGAGTCCAATAACTGATGACATTTAAAGTTGGTATCTTTCACTGTTATTGCTTTCACTTTTGATCTGTGATAATCGGTGTTTTTTTTCTCTTATTTGTTATTGCATTTAGTACTGTTATTTGTACTTGAGACTATTTTTTCTTTTTTCCTTCTCCATTTAATAACTAAAATTGGGTGTAGACACTATAGAAATAAGAATCCCTAGCCAGTACAGTCTAGCAGAATTTGTAGGGAGCCAATTACCATGCACTTCTTTGAGAGCTCAAAGGCTGTAAAGTACCAGTTGCACAAGTTTATTGGCTACCAGGCTTCTGGAATTTGTCTGGCCCTTCCATGGATGAGAAATCATGAATATGCACAACAATATACCCTTGCCTATAATGCAGGGATGAGCAGAATGAATATTTTTGAGCCATGTTCTGTTTAGTGTCTGTTAGCGTATGAAATTTAATTTATGAACAAGCAATGAGCTATATTTAAAAAAAAAAAAAAAAAGTATTTTCTTTTTGGGGGGTGACTTGGGACCACTGTATCTTGGTCTTTGTAATTTCCTGAGCTTGTGAAACTGCTATCTTCTGTTGACGATTAAACAACACTGTTGGGAAGTTAGGTACCTCTTTTATATACACATAATACTTCAGCAAATACTTTTTTCACCTCTGATTAATAGGCATGAAAATGAATCTTCTGGCCTTCAGATATAATAAATGATTGGCTTTTCCCTTAACATTACAGGATGCTGTTTAAGCCCTTCCTGCCTGACCTGGTATCCCTTTTTAAGCAGTTCAGAATGCCCGAGGGGGGGTGGCGGAAGCTAGTCCTGCCAGCTACTGATCTTTAGTTCTGACTGAGAGCTGTCTTTGATAGCTCGGTCTTTGTGCTGTGAGCATACTCTCAGACATAAACATCAGCCACCCAATGACGGATATTTGCAGTGCATGGGTGTTAAAGCCCACCCTTTTGCCACTGTGCATGTGCTGGGTGGATGTACAGGAGTTAAAGCATGGGTCCTCAGGGGAGAGCCTTTTTGAGAGTATATTCATGCCTCAGTGTATAAAATTGCTTATACTCGAATATAATTTGGTCCTTATAAACAAAATCTTATAGTACCAGTGTGGTTTAATTATTAACAGTGGGTTTACAACGTTAACCTTTGAACAAGGCCTTATTTTCAAAAAAGGTTACATCCAAATGAATTGAATGATTCAGTTTAGAATAGCTCTCAGCAACTGTGAGAACATGAAGTTTTGTGGGGGGTTTTTTTTTTTTTTTTTCTCTTTACTCCTTTCTTCACAATTACCCTGGCATATAGTGTAGCCTATTCTATCTGATGAGGTCTCTGGTGCCTGCTACTAGAATCTACATGAATAGAAGCAAAATTTAACACATAATTAGAAGCAAGCATATCTGTAAGAATAATAAACTGCCAATACCAAACCTGTAAATTTCCACTAACATGGATGAATCTAGCAGGAAGGGATTACCTACTAGATCATTATAGTCATCAAATTGTTTACTAAAGAACTAAGCATTTTTTCCATCCAGTTTTACAATGAACCTGAACTTTGTCAGTGAAGGACAAAATGGGTTTTCTTCAGTGACCTTCCCCTTTTACTTCCTCACTACTCGATTGGCCACCCGGAGTTGAGAAAGAAAAATACCATTTTAAGGTAAAGGAATTGTGTGATTTCCCCTTTCTTTATGCAGTGACTGAATGGCCAATTCAGTACCAATGATGTTCATAGAGGAACAGAGGAAACGTTCTTGTAAGCAATGACCAGAACAACGTAAAGGTTACACAGGTCATCGTCTCATTGATCTTGTGGGCAAATAGAGAAGAGGTACCTGTTAGCAACTCGGAAGGTGGAGGTTTATGCAAATCTGATGCTTTGCCTTGCATAGGCTAATCCCTTTAACTTTTGTTTTTCTGTGTTCCCCTGCTATAATTTTATTTTTAACATTACCCAAACACATGTACATGATGGGACTTTCATAATCTGTACCACCAACTGTTTAGGCCTGTCCCTATTTTCCCACAATATGCACCCTAATTGTATTCCGCAGGATTATTACAGATTTATGTAAATTATTGACTTTATGTCAAAATTCAGTTAAACCCTCATGTCTTACTACTTCCCTAAGGATGCTGACATGTTTACTGCCCCATAGAGCGTACTGAAAAAAGAAGGCCAGTGGTGTCTTATGGTGTGTGAACTGTGATTGGCAGCCTGGTTTGCCCTTTTGCTCTGCTGTGTAAGATGGCAGCACAGCCCAGTTGGGGAATAATTTGTTCTTTCAGGTACAGTTTTTGTTCATAAGATTAAGCTATAGCAAGTCATTTATAATTTAAATGTTTCATAGTTGGCAGCAATTTCTTTGAACATTAGCAAAGAAAATGGTTGTTTCTAAAGCTTGACATCTACAAACATATTCTTACTTTTTTTTTTTTTTACTTGGAGAAGGATTAGAACCTTGTTGTTGTCTTTTTGCTTGGCTTGAGAGTGTTTTCTTACTTTGTCTTGGTAATGCCTGTCAATCGCAATAGGAAGTAAGGAGAATCTGCCAAATAGGGACAGAGTTTATCAGCTTCCCCCACTCTGTCCAAATTAAAAAAAAAAAAATATATGTATGTTTTACTAGAGTTTTCACTTTAATTAAAAACATGATTCCTACTTGCTATTAATATATTATTGGGCAGATATTGGGAATAATGATAGAATTAGGAACATTCTTTCAGTCGGAAAGACCTGTATTGTGGGTTTTTTTTTTTCTAAAATTTATTTAAATTGACTTTTTAATCTGTAGACACATTGGGCCTAATAAAAATGTCCCTCAATAAGGACTGCTCCACAGCAACTAGTTAGTTTATGATCTGCAGTGGAAATTTACAAATGAAGAATGAAAATTAAAATCTTAATGTCAGGCAAAAAAGTAATGTGTAAAATACCTCAAATTTTATGTCACATTCACTAAGCTATGACTATTCTATGACATTATGACCATTAATTTTGGCAAAGAGAGCCTATGAGAGCTAAAGGCCCCAAGCCTGAAAAATAATAGTTGTAGTAATAACACATTATAATTATAGCCTAGTCAATTGAGCCTGTTGAAGCCTATTGTAGTATTGTATTATGCAGAAAAAAAGGAAAAATAGCCAAACTTATCTGTGTAACAAATGTAAGATGAATTAATAATAACTTGAATGTGTAAAAGCACTACTTGAGAAAGTGTTTAACAAATAAATGTTTGGATATATTTTTATGAAAGTCTGCATTCCATTGGTTTACAGATTTGACTTTCTTGCTAATTTAAAGATATTTAGCATTTTTAATAGAACAGGTACTTTTGGCTGTACTTTCTAATGGAAATGAGCTGCTAGCTTAGGGTCCTAATCCTATAAATGTGGAAGCTGTGGATGTGAAGATTGTATTCAGTGATTTGCTATATATGTTTTTTTTTTTTTTTTTTTTTTCAGTTTTGAGAATAACTTTTGAATTATGTGTGATTTTGTCAAATCAATTGTTCTGATTACCTTCACCACTGCTGATTATACAGTTCCCAAGATGCTAACAATAAAAGCACTAAATATTTAACATTTAATATAAAGCATAACTATGGTTTGTTTTTTTTTTTTTTGTGTTTTTTTTTTATCTTAAAAGGATTGCATAGTGTTTTTGTAACACAATAACACCCCCTTAGATGTTTTCGTGCACTACTGACATACATAATTAAATTACAATGGATTAAATATTTTTTTCACTCAATAAAGAGTATCTAAGTCCAGCAACAAAAATGTAATACATTGCACCTTACTAATCCTTAGTTGAGGTGACCGCATTTTTTTTTGTGGAAATCTCACTGGGTATTTTCTGTACCTAAATAAACAAAAGGGGGTAAAACGAGCGCTGGATGATATAAGAACAGGATATAAAGCAGCTGGCATGAAAGGCAAACCTCAAAACGCCTCATAAGATAACAGTCACAAAAAGAAAAAGCATGCAGCGCTAAAGTATTGAGATTACCTCGCAATGCAATATGACAACCTCAATGGAGATAAATGCAGCTAGCATATAAGTACTGGTGTGTACAACCCGTACTGGAACACACTCTTAGTCAAAATAAGGTGTACATGGTGACATTGGTGTCAAAGTCAATATATCAATGGAGTAACATAAGGAAATCTGTGACTTTTGTGGTAGAAAGTGTGGCTGTAGAATGCACTAACCAGATGGAGTGCATTGGAGTAAAATGACCTACTCCTGGTCACTGGATAAGGAACTCTGCCGGAGTGTTGGTCGTCTCTGCCACAGTCACCAGAATCATCTGTATCGATAAACGCTCATCCAATATGTTGTGGAATCCTTTCTGACAGCAACCTCCAGGGGGTGCAGTGCACACTCATAGGACAGGAGTCACCTTGAAGGCTCGGAAATAAACCCAAAAAGAGAGGCCTCCGATAGTGTAGTAGCTTTTATTAGGTGTAAAAACAAACGAAGCACTTACATGATATAATTCACAATTCCAGATAGGTATAAGAATGGCCGGCCGTATCAAGGTGTGGACAGTGGTGGTAGGTCAAATAGCATCTCCCTCAAGATGGAGGGAGATGCTATTTGACCTACCACCTGGAGGTTGCTGTCAGAAAGGATTCCACAACATATTGGATGAGCGTTTATCGATACAGATGATTCTGGTGACTGTGGCAGAGACGACCAACACTCCGGCAGAGTTCCTTATCCAGTGACCAGGAGTAGGTCATTTTACTCCAATGCGCTATCTGGTTAGTGCATTCTACAGCCACACTTCCTACCACAAAAGTCAGATTTCCTTATGTTACTCCATTGATATATTGACTTTGACACCAATGTCACCATGTACACCTTATTTTGACTAAGAGTGTGTTCCAGTACGGGTTGTACCCACCAGTACTTATATGCTAGCTGCATTTATCTCCACTGAGGTTGTCATATTGCATTGCGAGGTAATCTCAATACTTTAGCGCTGCATGCTTTTTCTTTTTGTGACTATTTTCTGTACCGGCTGAGAAAAGAAAACTAATTCAGCCACCACATCAAGGACTGATAACCGTAAAAACTGCTTAAGCTTCCTTGGTTTCCATGGGGATAGAGTATACATCATTTTTAACATTCAGCTACAAATGTATTTCTATGAAATCTGGGTTCTGGCTTGACCATTCTAGGACATTTATTTATTTTTAAACCAGTCTTGTCTGGTTTTGGCTTGGTGTCATTAGAGTTGATTTACTATACGCAAATAAGCTATACACTTTGCAAGGGCATTTGCATGCAATACTGTTGGGAGTGCCCAAAGATTAGAGGCTTTGGAGGATCGGTTAATGCAGCAAGGAATAAGGCTGCCGGGACTTGTAGGCGCTCATTTACAGAGCTCTGCCCACATGGCCATGCCGGCTTCAAATTTGACAGTACTGGGAAACTTCTCCCATACTACCTATCTGTCAGAGGGAGGGGGCGGTGGATGCAGCTCTGGCTATGGGAAAATGTTCCCAAAGGTGAATTTATCCTTTAACCGTTTCCATACCAGGCACTTTTACCCCCTTCCTGCCCAGGCCATTTTTCAGATTTCAGCGCTCTCACACTTTGAATGACAATTGAGCGGTCATACAACATTGTACCCAAACTAAAATTTTATCATTTTCTTCACACAACTAGAGCTTTCTTTTGGTGGTATTTAATCACCACTGGGGTTATTTTTTGCTAAATTAACAAAAAAAAACCCAAAAAGTTTGAAAAAAAACACGTTTTTCTTTGTTTCTGTTCTAAAAGTTTGCAAATAATCGTTCTTTGTAAATTTAGGCCAAGATGTATTCTACTATAATGTGTTTGGTGAAAATAAAGCAAATTAGGATGTATTTTTTAGTTTGTAGGAAAGTTATAGAGTTCACAAACTATGGGATATATCTGAATATTAATCAATCCTGAAGTACTGACAGCCAATCTAATTTCTTGAAGTCCAAGAATATTAGAACAGTACAGATATCCCCCAAATGAGCCCTTTTTGCAAAGTAGACAGTCCGACTTATTTCATAAGAGGCATGGGGAGTTTTTTGAAGTTGTAATTTTTTTTGTCATTTTTCAGAAAAAAAAAAAAAGGATTTTCACTTTTTTTTTTTTTATATATATAACTACAGTGTTTTCATATAACTGACATGGTGGTGATCAGTTTTTTTTCAAGATTTTTTTTTTTCTTCATATTTCACTATGACCAAAGTAGTATATTGTTACTATAGTAACGTTGTACTACTTTGGGGAAGTGATCTATATTTTTTCTTTTTACACAATTTGCTTATAGCAAAGAATTACTTTGCTATAAGCAAGCATTTACCTGAATGAAATCGATTCATTCAGGATTTTTTTTTTTCTTTAGCTGTGGCCAAATCACAGTTATCACATGACACAGCTGGGCTGTGATTGGCCCAGCTTGTGCATGTGATCGCTGTGACCATTCACAGCTAGCCACACTTGTATACAATGGATGGCATGATAGGAAACCATCCATTGTAGACAACTGTCATGTGACCTGCTGATTGGTCACATGGTACTGGCAACGGGGCCGGTACACAGATCTGTCATCGGCCGTGTCCGAGGCACATGGCCGGTAACAGATTGCGTCGCTGCGCGGCTCTGCTGGCATGCAAACTGCGCATGCCTGAAAGGACACAATATGGTTAAGGTTTTTTAGCAGCTGCCATGCGACCATAGGCCTGGCGGGAACCGGGTAATCACATCAGCCTATAGCTCTACAGCGTTATATGAAATAATTTTGTATTCTTTAAAACTTTTTTTTTTTTTTCCTTTCTTTTTCTTGTAATTTACTGGGGGGTTTTTTTCTCCATCCTCGTTGAGTGAGGCACAGGTGATGTAACCCTGGTCCTCACACAAGCCTCCTGGGAAGTTCCTGTCACATATTCCATGAAGCAGACTCAGAATTCTAGGCAAAATTCCAGAAAGTGAAGGGAGATGAAATGGGAAGAATGAGGAAAAGAAGATTTACAGTATTCAAAGTGTCTGTAATAATTTATAGCTAGCTGTAGATTGCTGATTACTAAACATTTCTAGATCTGATATTGTTGCAATTTTATGGTGAGGTTCCTCTATAATAGGAGCAGGTTTCCACCTTAACACTGTACAGGTAGAGGGATTTACTTGTGAATTAAATTTCATGAACAACAAAGGCTGTGTTGTAGATTCCAGCATACTTTGTATAAGTTGCCTTTAGAGACTTCTGCTTTATAACTGAAATTCTATGGACTATTTCATATAAAGGTGCCTGTGTATGAACCAGCGGTAATAGATCGCTGCTCAGTTCTCGGAGAACACAGTTCTCCTGTGAATGCAGTTTATGAAGCAGTTCTCCGAACGAAGGGGGAACTGTCTCCAAACTCTGAAAAACGGCTCATTTTACTATAATCTCACGAGATTACAGTAAAAGATCAGTTTACTAAACAGAGGTAAATTATCTCTGCTTCGTTTTCGGTCCCTCCGATTCTCCAGCTCTGGGCTGGAGAATCTGGAGGGAGAACACAGATCTCCAGAGAAGGGCTGACATGATCTCCTGAGTGTCATAAACTGTGAATGACCAGAGAATAGCTGAGATCTGTTGAATCGCAGCTATTCTCTGTGTCATAAACAGACACCAAAGTGCCCCATAAATACCATACAAAGCATCATCCACTTTGCAAATTTATTACTGAATAAGGTGTCCCAGTCAAAATATTTTGCTTAAAAAAAAAAAAACACACAAAAAACATACATCTGTTACAAGCATTTGTTTTGTACAAAGCACGGGTGTAAAAGTGGTCTGCTGTGTGTGGTTTTAGCGTGACCATACTTAGAGAATGCAAAAACACATTTCACATGAGTTTAACATAAATGTAAGCCAACTGTATAAACTGTTAAAGCAGGTATGATCTTTATGGGATACCTACATTAGTCCAGTTTGAACTAATGTAAGTTTGTATCTCTTATACATGCGGGACCACTAGGGAATCCAACAATCATGGTAGTATTTGGTGCTTCTTGAGTGATAGTAGTGATCTTCAGAATCTGGACCCAAGAGTCTTTCCTGCTGTATATTGACCACAGGGGGAGTTGCTCACCATTGAGAGAATGCCTTGTATTTTTATTCAATTAGCTGTTCTCTGCCTGGAGAGGAAGTGGAGATCATGATATCATTACCCCTCGTCTCTACCTGATCTAATCATGGAACACCTTGTATTCAAAAAAAAAAAAGTAAATAATAATAATTACAAGGCATTCTGTGAATGGTGGCATAGGACCCAGAAAATCATGGCCATTACTGTAGCAGCACTAACTACTACAGTGATTTTCAGCAGCCCCTCAGCTATGAGCTGGCATTGGTCCAAGCTGGAACATGTAAATATGCAATAAAGATCACAATTGAAGTTAGCTTTTAAATGGCAAACTTGTTGGGTATATTACACAGCATTACTCCTTGCAGCCAAATGAGTTGTATAAGTAACCTGCAGCTAAGATGCAAGGAAAAAAAAAAAAAGGTTTTCAATTTGTCTCTTGTACATTTGTAATAATACATATATTCTTAAGCAATCCAGCGAAGAGTTGATCCTCTGTCAATTGAAGAAAAGAATAGTATGTTGCAGTTCTTGCAGGATGCACTCTGGTCCATAATGGAATAAATATCAAGCTTGATCAGTTCAATGTGACTGCTTCATTTAGCTTAATAGATGTTTCTTGCCAAGGAACTGTATTTTACGATCAAAAGCAGTAGATCGAACGGGAGTGTTTGCTTCATAAAAAGGATTCATGGCAAACTGTGAAAAGAAAACAAAGTACACATTTGTATCTACCTTTTAATGAGCAAATAATAGGAGTAGAATGAAGAGCATCAGCATTATAGGAATTTAATACCCATACTAAAAAAAATCCTGGGTGTCAATTACAGGCAAATATCTTAAAAAAACTCTATTAAGATGAAAACAAATGCATGCATGAAAATATATTTTAACACCAGTTTTGTTTGCTTTAAAACAATGACTTCTCTAATAGCATCAACATGTATCCTGCATGGATAGTAGCTGTTTATTCTGATAAACGACACATAGCAACATAGTATTACTTACAATGCCATAATATAAGAAAAAGCAGCTTAGTGGTTAGCTCTGGGGATCTTGGTTCAAATCTCTGCCAGGCCACTATCTTCATGGACTTTGTTCTCTTTGTGCTTGTGTGGGTTTCCTCCCATGCTCCAAAAACATGTTGATAGGTTAACTGGCTCCTGTCTAAATGGGCCCTAATATGTGTATGTATTGACTTGTGATAAGGACCATAACTCCTTGAGCTTATGTTCTTTTGAAAAACAGCAGACTTACTGGCCAAACCACCAGATGAAAATAATGGATAGAAAGCCTAAAAAAAGAAAACTAATGCTGTAATATAATAAAATGTTTGCTTTTGGGTTTAAAGTATTACTAAAGACAAAACATTTTTTTTTTTTGCTTTGGACAGAGTAGAAAAGGATTGCAACACCTGTCAGATAGAGAGGGTAAATCTCCCTAATGAGCACAGACAGCAATAAAAAACGGTCATGTTTACTGTGATCAAAAGTGAAAGTAAAGAAAAATCCCAAATTTGAGGATGTCCCCAGCACAGTAATAGAAGGGAAATCTTCCAAAGGGGACTGGTGACCTGGGGGTTCTGATGGATTCCCTAAATTTTCAGGGCTTTCCTCATGTCCTGTTTTTGTGGCAGGAAGTAAAGGAAAATCTCCACAATGGGACACGGCAAGAAAAACCTGACAGGGATTATAACCCTTCCTTACTCTAGCCAATATGGGGGAAAAAAGTTGCCTAAAGTTACACTTTAATGTGATTCTGTCTAACTCTAGGTTCACACCTAAGTGTTTTCCGCAGCGGTTTGCAGAAACGCAGTACCGTCCATTTAACATGATTTCCTATGGGACATGTTCACATCTCCTTGTTTCCCAATGGTGCATTTTTTTTAATTTTTTTTTAAAGGGCCATGGACTTTTTTTTCAACGCAAAAAGTTGCGTTTTTGGTTCTATAGACTTCAATGGAAAAGCTGCAGAAAAGCATGTAGTGTGTTTTTGATGCATTTTAAATCGGCCTAGCAACAAGAAAAAAAAAATAAAATAATTAACCCCCCCACCCACCGCAAAACGTGGCAAAAATGCAACACAAAACACAATGCAGAAATGAGAAAAAGGCAACCTGCATAGGTGTGAACCTTGCCTTAGTGTTTTTAGCAGCCCATGTGTGCCAGTGCTAACTACCACAATTGAATTGAATACTACCTCTATTGTGGAAATTGATGCCCTGAAATTCTACAATAGCAGGAACAAAAAGGAGCCATGATCAGTAAGTATTTCTATAGCACTTATGAAATGGGGCACATAATGGGAGTATTAATTTGCTTTAGCTAGTTTTTTTTTCCCGCCTACATCAGGTTGTCTTGAACTATACCAAACTGTAAGATATCTAAGGTCTGATTCACGCTAGTGTGATTTCAGATGTCACTTGAGTTGCATAGAATGAAATGACAATGGAAATCACATGCAACTCAACATGGTGCGATTTTGGAAGAGGTTCCTGTATTACTTTGCTGCGACTCCAGTGTGATTTGTTTTTTTTCCCACTTCGAATATCCAGACCTTGTCTGAGTAGCACTACATAATTGCACTGAAAGTTGGATTAAAATTAGATTGCAGCAATGTGAACCTTACCTAAAACAGATTAGCTATTGGGGTTGATTTACTAAAACTGGAGAGCGCAAAATCTGGTGCAGCTATGCATAGAAATCAGCTTTCAGGTTTTATTGCCAAAGCTTAATTGAACAAGCTGAAGTTGGTTTCAAGATAATGGGCTTGATTCTATCTATTGCATCCTATGCTCTGAGCTTTAAAAGCCACTTACCAATGCATGATGTATTAATTTGCAGCAAGAGATGAGTTTATGATCAGTGAAGTCATTCTAGTAATCCCTCAGAATAAAGACAGATGGAATGATTGTGGTTCCCGCCTACTAAAAGCTGTAGATGTTGGAAGGTATAAACTACACTGTGACTATGTTATCTTTACCATACAAATGGTTCCAAACAATACTGGATAACTCTACATACAATTCTGTGCACCTATTTCTTAAAGATGTTTATCTGCTTCCATGTAACAAGTCCACCCGCCTGATTCAAGCTTTGCAGCAAGTATTTGCCGCATGAGCTACCAGGCAGAACAGTAGTTTATCAGGTAAGTTAGACTGCTTCTCTGAAAATGGCTCTGAAACACTTTTATACAGCGCGTTACAATTTCATAATTCAGAACTGTATGAAGTCTCAAGAAGACTAAAGTAAATATAAATTTTATTTATCTTTTGGTTGGCAAAAAAAAAGTAAACTTGTCTTTCCTTGAATTAAAAAAATGGCTCTAAGGGCTTGTTCACACTTGACTGTTTTACCAACGCTTGCCAAACGCCCCTATAGCGTTTAGCAAGCGTTGGTCCGGCGTTTGCGGAGCAGTTTTTAACGCTCGGCATGCGTGGTTTAGTGGCGGTTGCTAGGCGTTTGCCGCGCGTTAAAAACGCCCCACAAACGCATATAATGAAGTTTAAATGGTGTTACCGCTCTGCAAACGCCCCGCAACCGCGTCGCCTCCGCACTGCGGAGCGGCACCATAGACTAGACTAGGAGGCTTCAACACCTCCTGACTCGACCAGAGGCGTCCGTTTTGCCGCGATGCTAACGCTCCCGTTAGAACAGCACCATGTGCTGCAATGTGCAGAATTGTCCGAGGCATTTGGGAAGTGGTAAAAACGCTTCCCAAACACCTCTCTGCCGCCTGCACACAACGCTAGTGTGAACGTAGCCTTAAAGCTCAGTTCACACCACTGCAATGCGACTTTGGTGCGATTTACAGTGCTGCTTTGATGGGGCTTTGCATATTCTATGGGGCCAAGTTGCACTGTTAATCACACCAAAGTAGTGCAGGAATCTTTTCCAAAGTTGCACTGTACTGAGTCGCATTGATTAAAACAGGCGCCATTGAAAACTATGATTTTCATTGTCGCGAAGAAGAGATCAGAGACATCCTGAAACCTTGCATCTTTAATAGCTCAAAGTATCACGAAAGGCATATTTTTTTCCTTTTGGATAGAGTGGAGAGGGATTAGAACACCTGACAGTTTTTATTGCAGTCTGTGCCCAGATACTATTACCAGTATCGTCAAAAGTGAAAGCAAAAAAAAATCCCACATTTTGGGTTGTCCCTGGAACAGTAATAGAAGGGGAATCTTCTAATGTGGACACTAGTTCTGATGACACCCCAGAATTCCCTCACTTTGGAGGAATTTCCTTTCACTTCCTGTTTTGGCTACTGGACAGAAAGTGAAATCTCCCCATATAGGACACAAATGGAAAAAAAATCCTTGACGGGTTATAACCCTCCCTTGCTCTATCCAAAATGGAAAAACAAAAATAAATTTAAAAAATTGCCTTTAGTGACACTTAGCCAATGTATGGGATCACTTTCTCAATTAATTGATCTCTAACACAATGCAATACTGTACTACTGCTGTATGTTGTGTGTCCTTGAAATCATGTAATCCTGGGCAGCCAAGCATGTTATGCAAAGATCCAAAACATCTTTTTAACCCATTGGCGCTGACGCCTCCCTGCCCTTTAAGGAGTCTGTGATGGCAGGGAAGGGTTTGGGGGATTGGCTGTCACAGCAGTCACATGATTGGAAAGCTCCTGACCGCAAGTAGCGAGCGGGACCTTTCCGTGAGGCGCTGATGAATGTCGGGAGCGCACAGGGCATGCACTCTCAGCACATACTTTGTTTACATTGGGTACGCAAATATGCGGTCACTCAGTACCAAGGCCCAGCTGCTGAGAGGCTGTATATTTGCGTGTGCTTGGCGCCAAGTGGTTAAACACACAATTAAAGTGGTTCTAATGCATGAAGGTAAAAAAAACCTTCACTTTTTACAACCACTTTAAATATTCAGGGGTGTGTTTTATATTGGAAATCACAATACAAAAATTTCCTTCCCCTAGCATTTACTGTACCAATTTGCAGAAGCCCAGTAAAGCGCAACAGCAGCAATCAATTTGTTACTTGCTTTATATTAGTGCACTCAGGGCTGCTACTAGAAATCACAGGCCCTGTCTAGCCTACCTTACAGGGCCCATGCCCCCCCAAATATTTTCCTAACAATACACTAAAATCATTATTAGCAGCCACAAACAAGACAACAACATTTCTGCCAAATGTAAAACTATTGATTTAATAAGTAAAGCTCCGTGGTTGAAAGAGGTCTTGTGGATCATTCACATGGGTGCTGTGGCCTGTACAGTGTAAATCATCGGTTTATGTGGCTGGAGCCGTCTGGAGCTCTGTGCAGCCTATGTTACATCATGGAGACACAGCAGCTGTATGAACACAGACAGTGTGGATTTAGGGCCCCTCACTAACACTTAGGACCCTAAGCTGTGCATCCCTATACAGTAACAGGCGGCTTTAGCCACATGAACAAATCACTCATTCATATTGCCATTTGTGAATGAGCCCTTGTGGTCAGAGGGCTGTAAAATCACACAGTTGACTTGCACTTTTACTGCCCCCCAACCACTACCCCCTTTAGCCACAGAGGCCACAATACTTTGTCAGCTGGTGCAGGAATTATACCCCTGTTGAATGTGACCCATTCAGGTGAGTGGTGCTGCTCTGCAAGCACCCTGCAACTGTGTGCAATGCACATGGTTAAAGCATGCTAGTGCAGGGTTATAGCAGGTGGTGAGGAGGCGATACGCCTTCCACCATCTGTCAAATGCTCTCTGAGGAGCAATCCAAATGTTGAATTGCTCTTCAGAGAGCAAAGTACCTGTAAATGAGCCCTTTTTTTAAAAAAAAAAATATATATATATTTTTTTTTTTTGGATTTTATAATTTTTTAACTTACCAGTTGGGGGTGTTCTGGTGAAATATCAGGGCTATAAACAGACCCCTAATGTCTGACTTTTGAGACAGAGAAAGGGACTGATGACATAGATTTACAAATCCCTTTTGCCGCAGCCTCAGCTGCACTAGAGATGAATGAACAGGAAATGCACTGATTGGCACTGATCACTCACTGTGGTCATTCAGGAAAGACAGGGCTGGTAAATGACATTCCATTCAGCTGAAGCTGGTGGGAGGGAGAGTAGGAAAAGCTGGTAGCACTAAAGGGAAGGGTTGCACATGGGGGGGCCTAGACACCAGGGGGGATGGCGGGATGAAAATTCTGGAACCGATGCTCATGTGGCGCAGCGCAGCCAGAGGGAAAGGGAGAAGATGGTTGTGCTGCAGGTGTAGCCACAGGAGGATCGGTTCCAGTGATAAAGTAGTACAGCTGGTCTTCATGGTTGGCAGGTGCTCGGGCCCCCCTTTTGAACTGATGGTGCTAGGGCTCGGTACAGGAGGGCCAACTGTACCTCTTATTGGTGGCCCTGGGTGCAATGCTGATTTCTAAAGAAACTGCAATCCTCTAGGAAATCTGTACTCTGCATCACTGATTGTTTTGCTCTACAGTAAAACTGATCAATCAACCCATGTTTCTTGACAACAATATATTGCATCTCTTTGATTCTATAATTGTAACTCTATTAATAAGTAATAAGCAGGTCTTTCCTTTGTAGATCCATTACAGCTTTGTCCTATAATGATTGTCTGGGACAAAGAAAACAGCACAGCATTATGTATGTATTTTCTGTCTTCTAACTACATCTCAAATGTAAAATCAGCAATTTTACTTAAACGTGTGCAACGGTTTACTTTTATTCTGTACAGAAGCATGGAAGCAATTGTTATGTGTAAGATAACCACTACCATGGGCTTGAAAGGCCAAAGTCATTGGGTAATTTTGCAAGAAAATGTTCATATTCACAAATAAAAGTCTGCAGCATCCTGAAATTCCTCTGCAACCAAGTATACAATCAGTTCATCTTCCAAAGATTAATAGAACAATCCTCTCAATGTACAGGAAACAGACCTCTACTGCAATAACAGAATTAATGTAAACCTGGTGTCGGTTCATCTATAACCCTTCTGTATAGCTAGGCATCTGCCAACTAAACGAACTGTGAATTCTCTCATAGCAAGCTTGACATCAACCTGTTATACACACTGTAAAAACATACATTATGCCATACCTTGATGTATAAGTCATATGCTTCATTAAAGAAATTCTTTATTCCATCTTCTTGTCGGACATCGTGCAGCATAATGAATCTCATATGTAGAATTATAAATGTTAAGGAAATTTAATAAGTGTCCTCTTTCTGCCTTTTTACGGTTTTGTGTTCTGGCTTATTTTGGAAAATTTGCTGAAAATCTACTGTAAATTCCAATAACATAAAAAGACTCTGGGACTGAAAAGATAGAACAGCTCAGACTACTTCAGAAATCTGGGTTTTTTTTTTTTTTTTTTTTTTTTTTTTTTTAAATCAAAACTTCAGGATGGGCTCCTGCAGCAGTTAGTGTTCCAGACCTCAGCACTTCACACCTTTATTGTGTGGTTTTCATTTTAAGCCTTTGAATTCCATCTCTCAAGCATCTCTCCTCCTTTGGTACTGTTTTTTAGGTGGCTCCATCCCCTTACAGGGTTTTGGGGGGCCACTTTTGCGTGCTGACAGCTACAGACACTTCATGTGTACTACTTTAACCACTTGCCCTCCACAGGATTTACCCCCCTTCCTGACCAGGCCATTCTTTGCGATACTTTAACTGACAATTGCACGGTCATGCAATGCTGTACATAAATTAAATTTATGTCCTTTTTTCCCCTCACAAATAGAGATTTCTTTCGGTGGTATTTGATCACCTCTGCAGTTTTTATTTTTTGCGCTATAAACAAAAAAAACTATTTTGAAAAAGAAAATATATATATATATTTTACTTTTTGCTATAAAACATATCCAGTAAAAAAATTTTTTAAAAAAATCTAATTTTTTCATAAATTTAGGCCAAAATGTATTCTGCTCCATGTCTTTGCTGAAAAAAAAATCCCAGTATGTGTAAATTAATTGGTTTACGTTAAAGTTATAGCATCTACAAATGGTGGTATATATACTGGAATTTTTATTATACTAGTAATGGCGGCAATCAGATACTTATAGTGGGACTGCGGCAGGCATTCTGACACTGGGGGGGAACTGACAAACTGCCACTGACATCCCAATGACACTAATACAGTGGTCAGTGCTAATAAAAAGCACTGACACTGTACTAATGACACTGGGCAGGAAGGGGTTTATATCTGGAGAAATTAAAGGGCTAACTGTGTGCCGTTTTAAATTATGTGCTGTGTTTTACTAGAGAAAGATGATGCTTTGTTATTCTCTGTTGTGCAGAGAAATACAAAGCAGCATGTCCTTGCTGGCAGGAGAGAGATCTGTGTTGTTTACATGCAGGTCTCTTCCCTGTCAGCTTTACCTGGTGGGGAATCTCCGGTTGGGACCCAGTGATTGATATCCCTAGCCACCAATGGCAGCATGGTTGGGGCGGCGCACGTGATTTTGCGCCGCCATGTAGCAGTAGTTCTACTATAGGGTGGCGGGAAAGTTGATAACGTCCTTAAGGTCTCAAAATATTAGTCTAAGTGTGAAAATGTAGACAGGTCCATGCACCACATATTGAGTGCAAAGGCAGGGAACCTCTGACAGGGTTAAAGCTCCACCTGCTGACTGTATGTGTTAAATACAAAATATTCATATGCAATATTTTATATTTACTTGTTAAAATAATCACATTTTAGGATGTCTTGAACATATTAAATATGTCATACTAATAAAGCCACTATTCTGTGTTGCAGATACTGAATAGCACTATAAAATGTGAAAATCTTTCAAGCAAATGAAAAAAGAGGTCAAATGGCTATTCAGGCAAAACACATTTGCCTTTAAAGCTTCACATTCTTAATCTTTTTTTGTGCATTGACAATATCCCTCAAGCACACCTATTGATGAAGGGAGCTCTGTTAACAAATGATGATTAATCACTACGAAATGAACCAATTGTCAATTGCAAAAAATGCAGAATATAATTAAAGTATTAAATACAAAATGTACTATATTGCAATTCATTAGATGTGGTGGCTGCATCCGTTTCTTTTTTCAGGTTATATTTTTTCCCCTCTCTTTACCCTGGTAATTTGGCCAATAACACATCTCCTGTGTCATGCAGACACCACTCTGGATGAAAGAGCACAGGGGCAGATTTGGACAGCAGCATTGTCAGCCTGGGGGAAGGGATTGTTAGATGTACTAGCAGATTTAAATACAGTAACAAATTGGGGAAAAAAACATCAAGCTAATACTTTATAATCTATTACAACAAACAATTTTTTTTGGGGGGGGGGGGGATAAAGGTTTTACATACTGTAGATAAACAAAAGCTGATCATTTTAAGCACTTACGCCAGTGGCAAATGGTCTATCTCATCCCTGTAACTGCAAGAGAGCTTGTTCTGTTGAAAAATAAAAGACTTACTGGCTGGATCACCAGATGAAAACAGAAGAAAGAAAGCCAAAAAATAAACGAATATAGCCACCACATGTAAAAATTGGTAAACTGCACTGTAATAAAATGTTTGCTTTTGGGTTTAATACTGCTTTAAGAAAAGCGCAAGGGAAACTTTGTATTCACAGAGCATAGAAAAGGATATGTCCAGCTGTTACAAAAGCCGAAACAAACCATTCATTAAACTTGTCAACTGTCTTGAGGTACATGTTGTTCGACAGCCACATGTTTTCATCTACTAGGTCCAGGGCTGCATGGGCGATGAACTGGTTCAGATGGCGATGATCATCCTTTGATTGAGAAAAGAATGACATTTAAATACCAATATCTTACGGTTTATGTATCTAGGGAAAAGTCTCAATGGCACAGGATGGACTACACCAAGCTTTTACTTTGCATACACATTAGAAAGAAAAATACTCAATGCTAATTTGGGCTGGGCTGAAATCACAAGAAAGAGCACGTCGTTATCATGCATGTGATAAAGTAATATGCATTCAGGACAAAAGTCACCAGTAAACTGTACTGGGCTAAGTACACTGTTAAAAAAGAACTCCCGAAGAAAAAAAAATGAAATTTAAAGTTCTTACTAAAAATATCTTTAGGAGTTGCATTTTGGTGTATCATTCGTTAGATTGTTTTACACAGCCTGCAACCTTTGTGTAGTCACACAGCCTTCAAAATTTACCAGGTTAGAAACTGGCATGTGTCACAATCGGTTCTAACAGTACATCCAAAAAACAATAAACACATATAAACTGTTTTTTTGTGGCCTACTGGTTAATTTTTTGGTTACATTTGTTTTTACCTACTGGTAATCACAAACTTTGTAACTATAGGTCCTAAAGAAAAGATCCTTCATGTGTAATCAATGGTTATGTGTCCCCAACATTTCCTTTGTAAACACTGCGGTGGATTTACTAAAAGCAAATAGTTGTGCACTCTGGATGTGCAGTTGCACTCGTTTTCCTTTAAAATGTGGTAAAACTCTGCCGATTTTCATCATCCAATCGTGTGCAAACAAAAATGCCGTTTTTTTTTTTCCTTGCACCTAATTGGGTATTCTTTACAAAGTAAAGCATCATCACTTTCGCTAAGCTTTGGGGAAAATTAGTGCAACTGCACTTCCAAAGTTCACAGTCTATTTTGCTTTTAGTAAATCCACCCCGCTGTGTTCTAAGGCTAATAACAGCTACAACCAATACTTAATTTTTTAATGTTCACAGATAAGTTAAATGATATACTTGTTTTATTTCCATCTATGTATCCAAATCAATGTATGAGATATCCCCACCAGAAGTCCTAGTTCCAGCTAGCTGCTGTACCTAAATAATGAAAAGCCAAATGATCAAGTCATGCTAATCTGATGGACTCTCCATCATGTAGAATAAACGATTTATGGAGTCTAGCTGCATTATACAGAAAGGTGTGGTACCACAGACTACCATAGGGAATCTAGCAATTATAATCTCCAAGACATAGCAGGGGATTCAGCTCACACACACCCCACCATAAACAGAACAGAACAGATCTGTTTTGAATATAGAAAGCCTTCAAGTGCCAAGTAAGCATACTTTATGTTCTGGTGATCAAAAAGTTGAAACAAACTTACAGCTAGCTGCCTTAGCAGACACAAGCTTGTTCTAAGGGTTAACAGCCAGCTTTGTTGTATAATATGGATGTGATTTGGGAAGCTGTAAAACAACTCTATCACAACTTCACAATAAAACTGTCCCCTGATCTTGCCTGTGAGCACTGGACCCGAAGGCACTTAGCTCTGAACTGTTACAGATTCATATATGTCAAATCCCAGCCAGATGTAGCCAGGCAAGCAGCAGATCAGGGGCTCTCTGATCTACATGGGCTTATGCAGTGGAGGCATAAAGGATCTATAGACCCTTGATGTCTCTATAAAAAATACCTGTCATCTGCACATTACTGTCCTAAATATTTAAAGGACCCACACAAACATGCACATAAAAGCACAACTAGGGTGCACATGCATTACTAAACATCAGTTGTGCAACTCATACACTATATAGACAAAAGTATTGGGGCGCCTGCCCTTTACACACACATGAACTTTAATGACATCCCAGTCATAGTCCGTAGGGTTCAATATTGAGTTGGCCCACCCTTTGCAGCTATAACAGCTTCAACTCTTCTGGGAAGGCTGTCCACAAGGTTTAGGAGTGTGTCTATGGGAATGTTTGACCATTCTTCCAGAAGATCATTTGTGAGGTCAGGTATGAATGTCAAACTAGAAGGCCTGGCTCGCAGTCTCTGCTTTAATTCATCCCAAAGGTGTTCTATCAGGTTGAGGTCAGGACTCTGTGCAGGCCAGTCAAGTTCCTCCACCCCAAACTCCATGTCCTTATGGGCCTTGCTTTCTGCACTTGTACGCAGTCATGTTGGTACAGGAAGGGGCCATCCCCAAACTGTTCCCACAAAGTTGTCCAAAATGTCTTGGCAAGTTGAAGCCATAAGAGTTCCCTTCACTGGAACTAAGGGGACAAGCCCGACCCCTGAAATACAACCCCACACCATAATTCTCCCTCCACCAAACCGAACACTTAGCACAATGCAGTCGGGCAAGTGCCGTTCTCCTGGCAACCACCAGACCCAGACACGTCCATCATATTGACAGACAGAGAAGCGTGATTCGTCCAGAGAACACGTCTCCACTGCTCTAAAGACCAGTGCCACACCACTGCCTCCCACGCTTTGCATTGCACTTGGTGATGGAAGGCTTGGATGCAGCTGCCTATCCATGGAAACCCATTCCAGTACTCTCTATGCAATGTTGTTGTACTAGTATGAAGGCCACACGAAGTTTGGAGGTCTTTAGCTATTGACTGCAGACAGTTGGTGACTTCTGCGCACTGTGCGCTTTAGCATGGGCTGACCCCGCTCTGTCATTTTACATGGCCTGCCACTTCGTGGCTGACTTGCTGTTGTTCCCAGTTACTTCCACTTTGTTATAACACCACTAACAGCTGACGGTGGAATATTTAGTAGCAAGGAAATTTCACGGATGGACTTATTGCACATGCAACCTATCACGGTACCACGCTTGAATTCACTGAGCTCCTGAGAGCGATCCATTCTTTCACAAATGTTTGTAGAAGCACTCTGCATGCCTAGGTACTTGATTTTATACACTGTGGTCTTGGAGGTGATTGGAACACCTGAATCCAATGATTTGGAGGGCTGGCCCAATACTTTTGGCAATATAGTGTATATCTCCATGCATAAGTTTTGGATTTTGGAGAATAAGTTTTGGATAGAGTAAAAAGGATTTTAGAACGCCTGTCAGGTTTTATCACTGTCTGTGCCCCTGTTAGGGAGATTCGCCTTGTCTATTTGTCCTGTTTACCATTATCAAAAGTGAAAGTAAAAGAAAATCCTAAATTTTGGGTTGTCCCATAAAAAGTAATAGTGGAGAAGTCTTCCGAGGGGGACACTAGTTCCTGTTTGGTTATGGGACAGGAAGTAAAGGGAAATCTCAGCAAAGGAACACAGATTGCGAAAAAAAACAAAACAAAACGTGACAGGGGTTATAGCCCTCCTTTGCTCTATCCAAAATGAAAACAAAAACGTTTTGCCTATAATACTACTTCAATTCTTAGTTTATGAGCATGTAAGTTTTTCAAAGATTTGCTTATTGACAATTTGGGGTATCTTAGTTTTCCACCCTTTTATAAGAGCAATTTTGAGGCTTAACATAGTTGATAAATATAAAAGATGAAACTGTGCCATCTTTATTATATAACAGAATATTTGTAGATCATGTTGTGATTTTGTGCACTAAAATTAACTTCAGTGTATTTGTACTGAAAATATACTGAAAAAACAGTTGCAAATATCGTGCAACATAAAAAACTGCAACTGATATTTAGGCCTCTTGCACACTGCCGCCCGAAAATCAGTTTTCACAATACATGCAAATATGCACATATGCCACGCTTCCTGCTTGTGTGTGTATACTTGCAAATACAGCAACTGATATACAGCCCACCCTTGTGGTTTTTTCTGCCAGGAATGTCTGATGCGTATACATGAGTACAGTGTGCAAAAGGCCTTACTCAACAGGTCCTCTGTTTCCAGAAAATACAGTGGGTATAGAAATAATACAATCACATTTTGTTGCTTTGCAGCTTGAAATGAAGACAGACACAATTTGCGCTTTTATCCAGCTGTATTTACTCAGTGCAACTTTTAATATCAAAGTGAAAGAGGGGGGGGGGGGGGGGGGGATCACCCTCCTTCTAAGAATGACCTGTAAATTCAATCAGGTGTAGCTAATCACCTCAATGGCACACAATGCCATTTGCCTTTCAATCAGCTGTGGTCATTTTGATGAGCTCAGCATGAAAATAAATTTCCTAGAGCATTTCAGTCCCTGATAGTGCACCTGAAACAAACAATCAACTATTGGTGGCAAGACACTGTCAAAAGATCTCCAGGATAAAAGTTATGAACAGGCACAAGTCAGGAGATGGATACAAATTTTTTTTTTAAAGGCTTTATAAATGCCTAGAAGCACAGTGAAGTCTATTATTAAGAAGTGGAAGATATTTAGTACAATACAGACCCTCCCTGGATCAGGGCATCACTCCAAACTGGATGAAAGAGCCAGGAGGACACTGGTCAGAGAGGCTACCAAGAGGCCTACAGCAACTCTGAAGCAGTTGCAGGAATTCATGACAAAGAGTTGTCATTATGTGCATGTGACAACAGCACAGTGGCTAAGTGGTTAGCGCTTCCACCTGGCAGCACAAGGATCGTTATTTCAAATCTCAACCATGACAAAGTTTGCATGTTCTCCCTGTGCCTGCGTAGGTTTCCAAAGACATGCTGGTAGGTTAATTGGCTCCTGTCTAAATTGGCCCCAGTATGTGTATGTATGAATGTGAGTTAGGGACCTTAGATTGTATGCTCCTTGAGGGTTAGGGACTGATCTATATGTAAAGCACTATGTAAATTGACGGAGCTATATATGTACCTGTAATAAATAATAAAGATCACAAATTCTCCACAATTGTGGCTTGTATGGGAGAGTTGAAAGAAAAAAAGCCACTCAAGAAAGGCCACATGCAGTCAAGACTGAGCTTTGCCAAAACGCACCTTGAAGATTCTGAGGCCACATGGAAAAAGGTGTTCTGGTCAGATGAGACTAAAATTTATTATTTGGCCTCAACACTAAACGATATTGTGACAATCGCGGCGTCAGACCCCAGCCCTTCTCACCAAACTTGTGACCGAAGGACTAGCCAATCTGAAACCACGCTGTCACGTGCGTAACAATGCCATGCCCAGCTGCACCCTGCACAAAGATTTTCCAGCTAATGGACCACAACCTGTGTGCCGGCAGCCTGGGAGCGATTGTTACTGGGTCAGGTTAATTACGCAATTAACCCTTCACACTGCCACCACCTCCTTTTTGTACAGAGAAGGAGGAAACTCGGCAATATCAGCAATAACACTATGATGTTTGAGTAATCATCGGTATACCACTGTCACCACAGGCAGAGATATACCGAAGTTTAAAAACACACACACAGTAGCACTTTTCAGAGGCAGGAATTCTTAGTTTTGCATTAAAGAGCTTTAGAAACAGTTCAACACTTTCAGAAAGTAAGATTTATTACTAAAAGGTCAAAAGGGTGCAATAAAAATATTTACAGAAAAAGATGTAGCCAATATATACATAAATATACAGAGAACAATAGCACAGCAAAGAGATAACAGAAAGATGTTTAGGAGGGTTAAAATACTTGCTGTCAGCCGTGGGTTAAGCAGATCAGGTTTCAGAGCCAAAAGGGTCTTATCTCCCAAAGTTACTTCCGATGTTAAAAAGGGAGATTCTTCAACTTTGCTCAACTCAGCTCAGCTTTACTTCATGTACCACAGCCTTTATCTAGGAACTCCACAGGGTGTCTCCCTGAAGCAGAGAACCAATTGCCTCATTTAGGGAGGGGTTTGTGTAGGCAGGGAGCTCAGGCTATGACCAAAGCCTTCACAAATTATACTATGGCCAATAACTTTTCCTAGGTACATATAACATTCTATCCACAAGTAGATTAATACCCAGAATCTTCTGCGGAATGTCTACATATGAAATATGAGATACCTGCTTGGATGGTTAAAGAGATATAATTTTCTGCTCTCCTGTATATGCCAGCTAGGGAGTGTAATATACCAGGCGACTTCTCTTAAAGTGAGCCATCCGAATATGTGCTCCATGTTTGTGTAATTATTTCCCATTTGGAGATATAAAATTATATGGAAAACTGGGTTTTAAAATGTAAGTCTGTTTTACGACTCCCTGGCATGTCTTTTGAAGCTCTGTGAGGGCTTGGTTTATGGTCTTACGATATCCCAGATTGCGAGCTAACAGGCAACTAGGCACCAGCTTGGCTGGGGGTTTTATAGCCATGACGCCCTCCCAATGAGTTTGCTGCCTGTGATCTCTGCAACAAACAGACCACATGTCACTCAACAGAGAGGGAGGGGGGATGTCGGAGGAATCTGATTTGGGAGAGAGAGATATAATATGGAGGGGTTTCGAGCAAAATGAATGACCGCGTCCATCTCTGTGTGCATGATTGCTACAGATATGTCTGGCGGAAATCCCATACAGCTCACAGTCCAAATAACACCATTCCTACAGTAACACATGGAGGTGGGAATATCCTGTTATGGGGGCGTTTCTCTGCAGCAAGGACTGGAGCACTTGTTAGGATAGAAGGAAAAATGGATGGGGCAAAATACTGTCCAATTCTTGAAGAAAATCTGCTGCCCTCTACCAGAAAGTTGTCAATGGGAAGAAGGTCTACCTTCCAACATGACAATGACCCAACATGACAACCGCACAGTGGTTGAAGGAGAAAAAGGTGAATGTCCTTGCATGGCCTAGTCAGAGCTCTGACTTAAACCACACTGAAAATCTGTGGAAGACTGCAGTCCACAAATGGTCACCATCACATTTAACTGAAATTGAGCAGTTCTGCAAAGAAGAGCGGGCAAATATTGCAAAGTCTAGATGTGCAAAGATAGTAGAGACATATCCCAACAAACTAAAGGCTGTAATTAAGGCAAAAGGTGGTTCAACAAAATACTGACACAAGGGGGTGATCCTTTGTCAAACTCAGCGATTCTGGGTTGTTTTTTTCTGACATGTTGGTGTTATATCTTTTTTTTTTGGATGTTACAAGTTGCACTGAGTAAATACAGCTGGATAAAAGAAAAACCGTGTCTGTCTTCATTTCAGGCTGCAAAGCAAGAAAATGTGATTATTTTAAAAGGGGGGTGATTCTTATCTGTACCCACTGCATGCTGTTTTTTTTTTTCAATTCAATAATGCCATTATAGTATCTGTGTGGGGAAAAAAAAAAAAAAACACACAAAAAAACCGGTCCAGCAGTGAAAGAGTTAATACCAACACCCACCAGTGGAGAGCTCAAAACAACTAGATACCAATACCTTGGACTCAGTCTTTCCTGGGGGCAAAAATTCCATCTCAAATACTGGATTGTCATGATGTCCCACAATCACAAAATAGAAGCTGCCAGACATGGTCTTCTATATCAGGAATACCTAGGCACAAAAATAATTTGTACAGAATTATAATACAGCTCATAGTATTTGAAAATCCACTGCAATTTGACAAACCATGGTTGTGTAGGCTAGTGTATTTCCCAAAGTATGGGAATTCTAGGAAATCAAGCCCGTCACAACTGATGCTGTTGCTGCTTTCATCTCTTTTAAATTGTCAGGATGCTGCTTTGAACCTGCTCACCAACCAACCACCACTAACTGCTACGGTAGTTGGGTCCATGCTTAGCTGTCAGGGCTAATTCATTATCTATCAATATTTAGACTTTAACAATAGCTCCAGCTTGCCAGGTCCTCTCTCATATGCACAACTTATACACTCTTTCTAACAGGACCATAATGGAGTTGATTTAGTAAAGGAAAATAGACTGTGCACTTTGCAAGTGCAGTTTCACTCATTTTCCCCTGAGCTTAGTAAATGTGGTGAAGATTCACTTTGTAAAGAACACCCAATCAGTTGCAAGGAAAAAAAAACTGAATTTGGATGATGGAAAATCAGCAGCGCTACACCACATTCACTGAGCCCTGGGAGGGCAAATGAGTCCAACTGCACTTGTGATGTGCACCGTCTATTTGCCTTTAGTAAATCAACCCCACTAAATCTGTTTTTGCTGTATGACTCCTCTCTTCTATCTCTTGTCTATCAACTGGTCTGTATTTTCTAACACTGCCCTAATTAGAACACAGTCATACTCTCTTGTCTGTGCCACAGCTGCTGCATTGTGCCTGCAATGGCATTCAGGAGGCTTCCTATGTTGCTGACCACATCCCTCTCACACTATTTACCCTTATGTCCCCCAGTTTCTAAACTACCTCCTCAGCTGGTCACTTTAATGGTTGATAGACATGCACCAGTCAGATACACCTATGGCCGCTTGTTTGGATGCTATCAGTCTTAAAGGATAAGTTCACCTTTGGGAACATGTAACATGCTCCTGATCCTGCAACCACTGCCCGCTGTCCCCCCCTCCCTGTGACAGACGTACGAGAATAAGTTCCCTGTACTAGCTATCAGTTTTTGAAAACAGCATGGCTGTGCGGGGCTCCGCCCACACTGCCATGTCATTCATTCGGAGTGTTCTGTGAATGAACAGACTACAAGTCCCAACAGCCTTCGCTGTCAGCTTGCAGTCCTAAATGAACTACTATAGCACTGTGGTAATTCATGGAGTCTCCATGCCAGTAAATATCGGCTTGCCCGTATGGGATATAAGAGCAGACCACCACGATTAATTGGTAGATGTAAGGTAGATTGGGAGAGCCAAAAAGCTCCCCCAACCCACAGAGGCAATACAATTCAATATTTAACCCTTTGAGGACCAAGGGAAGTATTTGTCCCATGTTTTTAATTGCGTGTATCATCTGATTAAGAACTTAAAACTCTTTTTTTTTTGGTTTGAGTCAAAATATTAGTTCTTATCAACAAACAAATGGATCTAGCTTTTTGCCAATTATTTCATGAAATGGCTTAGTTACAGCAACTGAAGTGTACGAACTTTAAAAACAAAAAAAATGATTCTTTTGGCGTTCCAAAATCTTATGGTCCTCAAAGGGTTAACAGAAAAAGGATTTTGGAATCTGTATAGGAGTTTGTAAAAAAAAAAAAAATAGAAATTTAGGTAAAAAATTATTTTAAAAAGATTTACTCGTCCAGTGGTGCTAATAGGTAAGGGAAGACCAGGCACTACATTTAGTCTTTCGATGTTGCAAAAGGGGAAGGAGATTGTCTGAAACATACTTGGTTTGCGCTGAACCACACTTAAATATTTAAATTTGAAGACCGATTTTATAGGGGCAAAAAGAATGAGAGGTAGGGTTCCTAACGCAAGAGGGAATAATATTGATTTTTCCCAGTTTATGCACACTCCAGAATAATGGCCGAAGCGATCGATAATGTCAAGCGCCGCTTTAAGAGACAGATCACAGTCCTCCAGGCAGGGGCGGACTGACAACTCATGGGGCCCCTGGGCAATAGGGGATCATGGGGCCCGTGTACTTGCCCAAACTTAAAAAAGCCTAAGAAAAAGGTACCAGGGGCATCTCATGGGGCCCCCTACTGACCTCGGGCAGCGCCCGAGTTTCCAAATGGTCAGTCCGCCCTGCCTCCAGGTATAAAAGAGTGTTTGTCTGCATACAAGGAAACCCGGTCTTCCCAGTCACCCACAGGAAGCCCTGCAAGGTCTTAGAGGAGTGAATCAGACAGACCAAGGGCTCAATCCCCAGGGCAAAGAGATCTGGTGAAAGGGGACAGCCCTGTCAAGTGCCTCTGTGTAGAGCAAAAGGGGAGACCCTTTTTTAGCACAGACTCTTTAGCATATGGGGAGTTGTAGAGGCACCTGACCCATGAGATGTAATTGGGGCCAAATCCAAAACGCTAAAGAGCCTCCCACAGGTATTCAGGGACTTTTTTAAATGCAAAAAGCAGCGTTTTTGGTAAAATAAAAGTTCAATGGAGAAGCTGCTGAAATGCATGTAGTGCATTTTTGCTGCATTTTGCATTTTATTCTATTCAGCAACCTAAAAATCTTTAACAAAAGAAAAAGAAGCAAAATGCAGTAAAAACACGGCATAAACACGCATGCAAAAATGCACTGCAAAATAGACAAAAAAAGCAAGAAGAAACAGGAGCAATGCTGGAGGCAATTTACAGCACACACTCCTTTTGGTAGCATCATTATTAATGTGGATAGTTTGCTCCTAGCTAAAGAACATTATTTTGTATCAAGTTGTTATGGGTAAAATTCTGCTTTAACAGTTAAAAAGAAAAAACAGTTACAATCCAGGCATGCTGGGAATGCTGTCACATTTGCTTGTGTTCTCCACCTAACTGTCAAATCATCAAATAGCTGGAGTCATAACTGACCACATGTGCAGCATCCTGGCAGTTGCAGATCAAACAGAGGCCAAGATGGCAGCTGCCTTGGGTATAAATAAAACACCAGCCTGGAAGAGGGTCAGTGTCAATTTTCAGCACTGTTGCACTTTGACAATTGCGTGGTCATGCAACACTGCACCCAAATTAAATTAGCTTTGTTTTTTTAGACAGTTTATTTTGGTGGTATATATTCACCACTTGGGTTTTAATTTTTTTGCTAAACAAAGAAAAGACTGAAAATTGTGAACAGAAAACATTTTTCTTAGTTTCTGTTTCCAAATAAGTAATTTTTCTACTTCATTGCTGGGAATTGATGAGGCAACACAGGTGAGGAGGCCCTATGAAGGTTGTACTGATGGATACTTATAGGTGGCACTTTAACTGTAAAGTATACAGTGGATAAAACAAAAACTGTTTCTGTCTTCATTTCAGTCTGCAAAGCAACAAAATGTGATCATTTTAAAGGGTGGAGATTCTTTTCTATACCCACTGTCAGTGTTAAACCTATGTTAAATATATACAGACAGTGACAACGCAGATAATAGGATACTTCTACACGTATTCCCCAGTCTGACCGCTCCTCTGTTCTTACAATGACTACCACCAACCCCCACACACCCCAGATAGCACCCCGTGCCCCCCTCTCCCCCAAATACCTCTTCTCCCATCAACAGAGCGCTCCGTCGCAAGGAAATGACGTTGCAGAACGCTCTTCCAATCAGGCTCTCTACAGGTGACAGGGCTGCCTGTCAGGAAAAGGAAAACTTTATTTACAAAAAGTACAGACAACGGTTGTATTCAGAAATTGAGGCTTGGAACGCGGAACACTGCCCTCTCTGTTATTGGCCTGTAGAAAATCTTGCAGAGGATTGGTAGGTACGGCCTGAGCTCTGCTTGTGATTGGCTGTGCGGTAGCTCCCAGTAGTCTCGGCGGTTATGAGTTGTGTGTACAGCGGGGTGCTGGTTGGCAGTGGAGACGACGCTGGTGTATTCCCTGCTGTAGTGAGTACATTGGATTGTCTTCTAGTTGTGGACTGTTCTTTGTAGAGGGCGATCTGTGCAGTGTGGGGAACTAATACGAGATTGCAGCAGTAGTATGACACTGTGTGTTAGGTGTGACTGATCACCAGGCACATGATTTTACTTCACTGCACACGGTCCAATCTGATTGTACAACCACTTTTTATATGTCCATACACTGTGCAGTCTGATTGTACAACCTCTTTTTATATGTCCATACACTGTGCAATCTGATTGTACAACCACTTTTTAGTTGGCCATACACTGTGCAGTCCGATTCTACAACCTCTTTTTAACTGGCCATACACTGTGCAGTCTGATTGTACAACCTCTTTTTAGCTGTCCATACACTGTGCAATCTGATTGTACCACTGATTTTTAGTTGGCCATACACTGTGCAGTCTGATTGTACAATCTCATTTTAGCTGGCCATACACTGCAATCTCTTTTTAGCAGGCTATACACTGTGATTGTACAATCTCCTTTAGATGTAACAAAACTATGAAATAGAAGGACACACCTAAACAATTAATTTAGTTGGTAATAAACCAGGCAGGCTGTTGCAAACCTAGTTAATGATACAGTTGCAAGAAAAAGTATGTGAACCCCTTGGGACTACGTGGTATTTTGCATGAATTGGGCATAAAATGTGCTCTGAACGTCATCTAAGTCACAACAATGGAAGAACACAGTCTGCTGAACATAATACTACACAAACATTAGATGTTGCCATGGTTTAATTGCACATAACATGTAAACATTCACAGTGCAGGGAGGAAAAAGTATGTGAACCCCTTGGGATTACGTGGAGTTTTGCATGGATTGGGCATAAAATGTGCTCTGAACATCATCTAAGTCACAACAATAGAAGAACACAGTCTGCTGAACATAATACTACACAAACATTAGATGTTGCCATGGTTTTAATTGCACATAACATGTAAACATTCACAGTGCAGGGAGGAAAAAGTATGTGAACCTTTGGACTTAATAACTGGTTGATCCTCCTTTGGCAGCAATAACCTCAACCAAACGTTTCCTGTAGTTGCAGATCAGACCTGCACAA